TGCCGGGCCGGCCGCGGTTTGGCCTCACTGAATAACTTTTCGAAAGCAGCGTATTTTGTTTTTAATTTATTCCCATTTCCTTGCCTAATCTGTATGGTTCTCATCATTCTCGTTTCGTCTTGGGATGTTAGCAAAAGTTCGTCAATTAACGGACGCTGTTCCTGAGCCCAGAATAGCACTTCGCCGGCCCCAACTGATCCCGGTCCTTGATATTGTTGAACAGAGCCCTCTTGTGGGTTACTCATTACAACCCCCCCCCACGCTTATTTTTTTTAATTTATTGGGATACACCATGTATACGTACTTTCTTGTGGGGAAATTGTGTTTTTGTCAGGGGGGTTAAGTCATCACGCCTTGTAGGAACTCTCGCTGTTATGATTCCTTTCTACATGGTCGAACTCAACTTCTCTTCTGAAAAAAAATCATACCGAGCCACGATTGTAGTCTTTATTCGCCTCCATGTTTTATTCGAGTCGAGTTTCCCGGTGTGTGTGCGTGTGTGAGAAGAAAATACGCTCGGGACCATTCCACAAATCCAACACACAAATGCCCCCCCCCCCAAAAAAAACTATACAATTAGCAGCTGAAGTTGTCTAAAGTAAATGATAGTAACTTTTAAGCGAAAAGATTAGGACGCAAAAGAAAAGAAAAATTAACTCTTTTCCAAGTAACCCTCAGAAAATATATGAAACTAAAAAAAGGAATAAAAAATTATAAACTGGTATGATATTTTTCCCTGCATGTCAAGCCATGGATACGTCCAGCCTTCCTCCACAGTCCAACCTAAGAGTTTGATGAGTGGGGAAAAAATAATTGATGCTTTTGAATGGAAGAGAGATTGCAATTGCAATTAGGAGAATTGTAAATTAAGTATTAAACATACTAATTGTCGACAAGACAAGCAGACGTACTTGACGCTTTCTCGTAGTTACTTGTGGGAAATTTACAGAAAATCTGGGGATAAACAACGATATTGGTGTTAGTTGATCACTCCGTCGTCGTTCAACCGTGCCGCGGCGGCTCTAACATGCCTGATGTTTCATGCACAAACTCTCGGATGCGGAGTTGATTGACACTGCTGGCGAAACTGGCAACTTTTGTTTCGCGCAAAATATAAAGCGACGTCACGACTTAAGCTCCTCCCACGCTCGCTTTACAGCGCCGCACGTATGCTCAGTGAATGAATGTGTACACATAGTGCACTGGACTTACCAAGCAGTACATGTACAGTACACCTGTGCGCGTGTCGCCATGTAGTTTGAACGTCGGTTATGTTAATGGTAGAAATTCATCAGTTTTTGGACAAAAAGTAGCTTCTTTCTTTCCCAAAGCGAGAAAAAATTTGCACATTGCAACATTTCCAACTGCATGGAAAAAGAGGTGTGATTCTTATTTTCATGTCACTGAAAATGCGAATGCAAGAGGCGAGGACGGCACAACGAGTGATTGTATATTGACAGTATATGTCATGCATTGTGCGCCCACGATAAACGGTAGCTGTTGAATGGCAACATCACTGGCGGCTCTGGAACGCTTACCGTCTGAATGCCTCGGTTGCCGCCGAGTGATTGACCGGTAGTGACGGCGATGCCGCCGCTGTTTACTGGCAGCACGGATGGGGGAACATCGCTAAGCTCTGGCGACGCCATGGAACAACTCAGAGCAGTAACACCACACCATCCTGCAAGAAACTGCAGGATTTTAACGCGAAGCATGTCTTCTGCTGTTGTCATCTTATATCGTGTCACACTGCTGTGCATGGTCTTCGGCTTGGCGAGTGGACAAGGATATGAAACAGATTTTGTATTCACCGTTGACGAGGGACAACCGCCGGGATTCTCAGTTGGAACGGTATCTACAGAACCTGGGTACACTTACAAATTCAGTGATGCCCCAGCGGAATTCACAATAAATGGAGTTAGTGGAGAAATACAAACTGCAATACAAATAGACAGAGAAGTGCTTCAAAATGATGTGTTTGATATTTTGGTGCTAGCCAAGAATAATGTAACTTTGAGAACTAAACCCATTGAAGTGAGGATTACTGTTGCCGATTTGAACGACAACTCACCATCTTTTCCAGAGACAGACATTTCAGTATCATTCACTGAAAATGGACGTGCTGGGACAACAGTCATTCTTGAATCAGCCACAGATCCAGATAAGGCAGACAATGGCAGCATTGTGGAGTACTCCATCTGGGAGGGGAACTCAGAAAATGCGTTTCGTTTAGTGACTATTCCAGGCCCAGATGGCTTGCCAATATATATCAATCTGGAGACAACCCTTTCACTGGATCATGAAGTGCAGGATTTCTACCAGCTCACGATAGCTGCCAGAGATAATGGTTCACCCCCACGGTTTGGTTTTGTGCATTTGAACATCACTGTTCTGGACATCAATGATAATCCACCGATTTTTGACCAGAGTGAATTTGTTATCAATGTCAATGAAAGCACCCCGGCAGGCACTAAACTACTTGAGGTCCATGCCACAGATGGCGACTCGGGCATCAATGGTGAGGTGGAGTACTTCATTGAAGAGGAAACATCCAATTTCAATGTTGAGCCTGTCTCTGGAAATGTCACCCTTCAACAGAAACTTAACTACATCAGCAGTGATCCCTACCAAGTGACCATCAAGGCTCGCGATAAGGGCGTACCAACACTGTATGGACGTGCTTTTCTGTCCGTTTATGTCATCGATGAGAATGACCATGATCCACAGATAACTTTCAGCTATATCCCTCAATCTGAAAGCTTTGCCACTGTCTCAGAAGGAAGTGCAACAGGTACCCTCCTAGCTTTGGTGACAGTTACTGATGAAGATCTTGCAGAAAACGGTGAAGTCAACCTGCAAATAATTTCTGGAAATGAACTGGATCATTTTATGTTAGATACGGTACAGTTTCCTACCCAAACCCAGACAAAAGTCTTCAAGATACTTGTTGTTGGAGATCTAGATCGTGAAAACATTCCTCAGTACAATCTCACACTTTTGGCTTGGGATAACGGATTTCCTCGTCGACAGACTATTGGCAGTCTACTGATCCATGTGGTTGATACCAATGATCACTCTCCGGAGTTCCAAGAGTCCGAGTACACTGCAAGCTTGAGTGAAGGCCAACCTATTGGCAGTTTCGTTCAGAGTGTGACAGCTACAGATGCAGATTTTGGTCTCAATGCCATGGTCGTGTACTCCATCACTTCAGGAAATTCTCTGGATTGGTTTGAGATAAACCCGGACACAGGACTCGTTACTACCAAGGCATTGCTGGATCGTGAAGTTTCATCTGTGGTTGAACTGAACATTTCAGCCACCGACCAAGGCCCGCAACCACGTACGTCAGGAACAACACTGACAGTTATCATACTTGATGTGAATGATGAAGCCCCAGAATTTTCAAGTTCTGGGTACACTGCCTCTGTCCCTGAAAATTTAAATGCTGGATTTGAAGTTCTAAGTGTGACAGCCACAGATGGAGACCTAGGATCAAGTGGCTTTGTACACTATGCATTTACTGATGATGTCACACACCAGAACCCTGGAATATTTTCAATAGACATGAACACTGGCACAATTTTCACAGAAGCTGTATTAGATCATGAGGCAATATCTGAGTATGATCTTCAAGTTCGGGCTTTTGACTCTGGTACTCCTCCTCAAGAGTCAGTTGTCAGTGTACACATTGATGTTGTGGATGAAAATGACAACATTCCAATTTTCTACCCCCAGACCTACCTTGTAACTGTGCGTGAAAACGGACCACCTGTGAGTTCAGTTGAGCGGGTTACTGCTACAGACCGCGACAGTGGCAACTATGGAACTGTTACTTACTCCATTGTCAGTGGTAACATAGCTGGGAAGTTTGATGTTGTTGGTGCAACCGGTGAAGTGATGACTGTGGCCTCTTTAGATCGTGAACAACAGTCAGCCTACACGCTCTTCATCAATGCAACCGATGGTGGGGGCCGCATGGCAGAAATTTCGGCTGAAGTACACATCACCGTAGGGGACATCCAAGACAACCCTCCAGTATTTGATCAGTCAGTTTATGAATTTGAAATTTACGAGAATGTCAATGCCAGTTCATATGTGGGCAGTGTCACAGCATCCAGCCAGGACTTGAATGCACAGATAATGTACATCCTCTTCTCTGGTGATCCAATGAGTCAATTTGAAATAGACAGGAACACTGGCGTGATTCGTACTACTGGTCAAGTTGACCGGGAAGTGACACCAGCATACGAACTGACTGTGTATGCTAGTGTGGGAAACCTGATCGGCAGCACCACTGTGAATATCCAGATTCTTGATGTTAATGACAATGATCCACAATTTCCACTTTCCAGAGACACGACTGATGTTGTTGAGAATTGGGAGGTTGGCCGACACTTTTATCGTGTTCAAGCTACTGACGCAGATAGCCCTCCAAATGGAGATGTTGTCTACAATATCATTCAAAATCCTGGCGAAACATTTGGAATAAATCACACCACTGGATGGATGTTTCTGAACAAAGATTTACAAGTCTCTTCTCAAGATGAATATTCAGTCAAGATTAATGCATCTGATCTTGGCAATCCAAGCCGTTCAGCAACCCTTGAGCTTATTGTGTCAGTCAGAGATGTAAACAACCACGCTCCAGAATTTGCTGCCCAGCATTTCGAGACATCCATCAGTGAAACAACGGAGGTGAACTATCGCTTCTTTAGCCTGACTGCAACTGATCGTGACCAAGGGACTAATGGTCTGATCTCATACAGCATCTTGAGTGGCAATGAACGAGATTCCTTTGGTGTTTTTCCCAATGGTGAAGTTTATGTTAAAAACGCCTTGGACCGAGAAGACATAAGTGAGTACGCGCTTCGTGTAGAGGCACGAGACAGCGGTATTCCATCACGTTCAGCATCTACAGAACTGGTGGTTGAAATTCTTGATGAAAATGACAATCGGCCGTTCTTTGAAAATTCCAGTTACACCTTTTATCTGCAAGAGGGATCTGCTTTGAACACCGTTGTCGGAACTTTAGTGGCCACTGATGCGGACTTAGGTGAAAATGCCCAGCTCACCTACTCTTTTGTTGGGAATCAGACACAGTTTTCACTGGACCGAAACACTGGTGTTATCACAAATTTGGTTGGATTTAATCGTGAAGCAGAAAATGGTCAGTCAAGCTTCACATTTGAAGCAGTGGTGAGAGATGGGGGTGCCATTCCCTTCCAAGATCGTACCTCCATCACAGTGGTTATCTCTGACATCAACGACAATGCTCCTGTATTTTCTCGTTCATCCTACCAAGTGACAATATCGGAACTGGCTGAGAATGGCACCCATGTCCTGCGAGTGACAGCTTCCGATGCTGATTCCGGTGACAATTCGTACATTGTGTACAGCATCATGAGCGGTAATTCGGAGAAGAAATTCCAGATTGGTCGGACCAATGGACAGATTACACTTGTTGGGTCTCTAGACAGGGAAACAACTTCAGAATATCCACTCACCATCAAAGCACAGGATGCAGGCAGTAATCCCCAGCATAGCCTGGCAGAGGTTCTGGTGCAGGTCTTGGATGAGAATGATCACATGCCGGTTTTCACTCATGTTGAGGCTGAACTGGAGGTGATGGAATGTCTTGCAATTGGTCAACCCATTACCATGGTTTCTGCTACAGACGCTGACATTGGGGAAAATGGACTGATCTCCTACAGCATTACAGGTGGCGATGTGCACAAAGTATTTCGTATTGATCCAGACACTGGTGCCATTACTCTCTCTAAATTACTTGATCACGAGACCAGGTCTAGTTACACTTTGAACATCACTGCAAGAGACTCTGGTGTGCCTCAGCAGACATCGGTGACATCTATTTTAGTTAGCGTGCGCGATTGCAATGACAATTCCCCTGTGTTCCCACAACATTCAGTTGTTAAATGGATAGATGAGGAAGTTCCTCTCAACACGCTTGTCACAACTGTGTCAGCATCAGACCCTGACTCTGGAATTAATGGAGAAGTACGCTATTCTATACTGAGCCAGGAACCAGAAGGTGAACATTTCAGTATCGATCCAGGGACTGGCAGCATTTTCACAAATGCCCGCATTGACTATGAGTACCTCAAGGTGCACAACAGTTTTTTCAGACTCGTTGTGAAAGCCAGTGACCAGGCACTGCCACAGGAAAGTCGACGCTCAGCGACGACCGAAGTCGTGATCTTCGTGCGTAACATTAATGACAATGTTCCAGTATTTCAGACACACAATGCCGTGGTAATTTCCCGCAGTGCGGCAGAGGGAACTGTTGTTACCACAGTGAAAGCCGAAGATGCGGACGATGAAGACAGTGCAAACGTCACTTACTTTATTGTAAATCGCAGCGTTCCATTTGAAATTAACACAGCTTCCGGGGAAGTTACCGTCACTGGACGTGGCTTTGAACCTAACGTCCACTTGTACAGTGTCCGTATTCATGCTTCTGACAGTCAGCTTGCCTCAAACTATACCTCGCTTGTGCTGAACATTCTGGTTCTGGGGGAATCAAACAATGGACCCACTTTTACCCGCGGCGCTTACTCTGGAAGTGTATCAGAAAATCAGGAAGAAGGAACAGAGGTGGTGTCCGTAAGCGCTGGATTCAGCAGCGACCCGGATGCCAACATCGACTACTTTATCACTTCAGTCGTCGCAGGTGGCATATCCAGAGATGGAGACTTCCGGATGAATCCATCTGGTGTCATTTCAACTGGGGTGGTGCTGGATAGAGAGATGCTTGGCCAAGATGCAGTGTATGTGGTCACAGTCTATGCCATCAGTGGAACTTCAGCATACAATAGCACCCAGGTAAGTCATGTACATGTACTAATTTTTTTTTTTATGTTTTGATGGTTGGTCACTTCTCGATTGGTTGGCATTTTCTTGCTCTAAGTTAAGAAAAAACAGATGGCTCAAAGAGCTGACTAGAGTGACCAGAAAATTACAAAGCTTTAAAGTTAAAGGTCATTACATGTATGGGTTGTGGCTTTTTTCTGGAAGCAAATGTAGTACGCATATGAGAAAAAATTAAATGAACAAACTGAAAGTCTTTCTGTACATGTACAAATGTATCATGCAGAAAATATTGCACACATGGACTTGTGTTCCACTGCTGCAGAATCGTCATTCAGTACAAAGTGTGATCACAGAAGGAAAGTTGTATGCTCAAAAGTTTTCTTGACAAGTTGATAGATTTAATAGTTTTGTGGAAAGAGGAGCTATATAAAAACATGTACATACATGTAGATGTACATGTATGTGTGTAATCGGAATTATTGCTTGAGACTAACTTTTATGAGCATATCAGCATAAATGCCACTCCCCATATTTAACATTGTCCCTTTTAATATTGGTGGGAATTTTTTGTTCATGCATATCATGAAATGCAGCCAATTCTATCCCCCTGCTTTAAGATTACTGCAGTGAATAACTTCATTTCTGACGTTTTTACAATATATCATTTTGCACATCTGTACTTGAATCACAGGGAATCTTTTCTACAAAGACAGGTTATGATCCAAGTTTGTAGATGTGTGCTGTTTTAAACAGCTGCAGACACACTGAGATTACAAAATAAGGCTTTTTGTAAGTGCCCTGTAAATTTTGGTATTTCTGAATTTTTTGGGTGTCAAGATTCTTGAAGGAAATGATTTATACTTTCCTGTTATTAAATTTAACTTTACTGCTTTGTTACACGATGCCAAAAATCATCTACTGTCCTACAGAGGGCATGCCATACAAAGTAATTAATCCATTTGTTACCTACCATTAGTGGGAGTTTCAAAGCAACTTTCATTTCCTTACCTATATGGGTTGTAATAAGTTCCTAACTTCGCTTAACAATTCTGTCTTTAAAACTCACAGATTTGGAAAATGCAAAATTTTTATTCAATTTCAAACGCACGTAGATGATATTGTGGCACCTCAAAATCTCACCTTTTATTAGGAATTCTTTGTGTGATACATATCACCCCGGTTGTTCAACCCAGAATGGCCAAAGATATTATTCCAGTTGGACTTTTGTGGTGTTCACCGCATCAAAAACTGTCTCCAGTGCAGCTGATTTCTTTTTGTCCCAGAAATTTACCATAACTCTACAGTTCTGCTACTAAGAATTATGGCTAACTTGTTAGGCTGGTGGATTAGTTGGTTAGCATGAACTCAGCCATCCATAACCGATGTTGACCCAGCTTTTGCTACCCCATTGCTTTTGACGGGTTTTACTTGGTACAGCTTCCAAATACAGTTCTAGGGCATTGAACTGTGCAGGAATGTTTTTTCGCTTCCTTATTCTTGGGGAAATGTGCTCTTGGAATTTGAAGATTTGAAGAAAAAATAATTTCCCTTGAAAAAAAAAAAAAGAACAGAAAAGGAATCAGGCTCAAATGTAATTTGTATGTGTTCCCCATAGACGTGTGTGCTTGAAATTGTGTATAGTGTAAGAATCTTCCCTCTTAGGGTATGAGTATCTGTCATATGCAAATGAGGAGTAAGATCAATGTCCGTATTATTCACATTTGCATTGTGAGAGAGAAGCCTCATTCATCATGAATAGAAGTGACAAAGACGTACACTATGGTCGCACAGTATGAGCAAAGTAAATTGATTTTTTCACCTCCCTCTGGTGATCCACAAGGACAGACAATGCCGTTTTGCACCAACGCAATATTGTATCAAAGATCTGGGAGTTTTACCATACGCAATTCACAGCGCTGTCCAGTTGAAACATTTAATGACCATTCTACCACAGTTCTCACAATTGCTGCATGCAAGCTATTAAGATATTGCACTTTGAAGAGTGTTCCCCTGCTGTACATGTACATGTAAAGGAAGTTAATGGCAGCCCATTTATCATTTGAGACCTGTTATTTGTAACTTCACAAGCAAACAAAAACCACAAACTTTATTGTTTGGAGTTTTCTGGTAGTTATGGTTCATAGCTGTGCAGACTCCCAGCAGATTCCACAAGAGTCATTATCAGCAATCGTGACACCAATGATGATTAATTTGGCTATTTAAGTCCTGGGGGGCCACCTGAATAGAGATAAGATACAGACACCTGTTGAAACTCTAATTTCTTTTCTGTTTTTTTTTTAACAAGGATTATTTTTGCCACGATTTGCGATGAGGAATGTTCACTGCTTCATAACTCTGGCCAATCACAACAAATATTTGCCCTCAAATTTGTGCAGTGCGCATCAACAGCCTATTGCCTCTTTAAAGAAATTCCCTGGAATCGGGGCATGATATCATCTAATAAAAGACTTATTTGAGAGAGAGTGCGGTGTGGAGGCACAGTGGCCAGTCATGCCAAAAATCAGGGCAAGCTAACAGTGCATCGCCCACCAGTATTCTGTGTCCCACTGTTGCCAGGTGATCTTCAAGTGCATTTTGTCTGTGTCAGTGTCATTTCAGGCACTACACCTGTATTGCATTGCACTCACTGGTGCCGTGCACATTCTGGTTCCAGCGGGGACCCCAACATTTAATAAATTATTTGGACAGGATGGGTCATTGATGTCAAGTCACAGGGGTCACCAGGCGGCGCATCTGTCGGAACAAAGAAGGAAAGGAGTGATTCAGTTGAATGTTGTTTTGTTCACATGGAGCCTACAGTCCTTTTAGGTTTCTTTTTGTATGAATAATTTGATTAACAGACCGGAAGTAGAAGTTTATGTTGTTTGCATTCATAATGATGACAACAACAGCTGTAACGTCGGAAAAGGATGAATTTACAGCTTAACTAATTTTTAGTATTTTAAAATAAAGGACAATATTTTCCTCTCTTGAAGTTTGTGGGAGGTACGTTGATGTGGTTACGTGTACTTGTACATTGAGACACCCATAAATTTTGACCTGATTTATGCATGTAAATTTGTCTGCACTAAAATAGGGAAGACACTGAAAGCTACCCTGCTTGTGAACATCACGAAAGTGCCTGTGGCCATGGTGTAACCTGGACCCACTAGGCTCTGTTCATTGTAAGCTGCATTTGCATCGTAAATCTGTCCAGCAGGTTGTGCCAAACCCTGAGACTCTGGTGTTGATCAGTTTGGAACTACATGTACATGTACCTGTAACCAGTGTGTTTATTGGAAATTTTTGGAGAGCAGGAAAGGGAACGACATGTACATGTACTACATTAATCAGCCATGTGAATCACAAAAATAGAAAATAGTGTGATTGTGTAAGAATACGTGTGTGATGCTGTACTCACCATGTACATGTATGTTTACGTACATGTAGGCCTACATGTACATTTGCATGTGCACACATGTAGGCCTATTTATGTAATTGTGCCGAAATAAATAATTTGTGCTACACTTTAGAACTTGCAAACATGTACTTGTACATGTACATGTAGCTGCTTCTTAGCATGTTTGTATGATGGCTAGACTATTACTGGTATTTGTGATAGGAAAGACTTCATGTATCCGCTTCAGCCTTGCCCTGTACAAATGCATTTCATATACTTGGCTCTTTACTTGCGGAGAAAAAATACATGTACCAGGTAATTCATGAAGCAGTTTACAAAGATACCTTCAGACTAACAGTGGCAAAGCATACCTGTAGGTGTATGAATATATGCACATTAACTTGTGAGGAATGCCAACACGAAACCGTGCCAAAGTTGCCCCCACTTGATATCAGGTACCTGTTGTACATGCAAAGTGTATTTGCCATGGATCTTTCACTGACTCGCTAATGGCAATTACAAATGACAATACATAATGTTGCTAAAAGCTTTGCCATGCTGTGTGTAGGCCCAGCACGTTTCTCAAGCTAAGACTGTCAAAGGACAAGGCAAGAAAACCCCTTGAAAACAGGGCCTTTTTTTACCTACTGAGATCTGTCCTAAAGAATTAAAGAGCACTGTAACATCCCTGACATCCCACTATAAATTCAGACGTGATCTTTTGTTCCTTCCCCACATCCAAGCCTCTGCCGGTCAAATCAGCCTGCTTTCAGCGACCCCCCTGTCGAATCCTTTTACTTTGATTTCACTCTAGAATAGACACCAATGGTTAATGTTTCGTCTACTACCTTGAGGGCTTAGCAAGAATTTTTTTCCTAATCTAGAAACCTGTACACAGTGTATGTGTACCTTGTACCGGTATCTTGCATAGAATTCTTGACAACAATAAGACTGGAAGTTACACTAACTTGCAGGTAATAAAGCAGTGCCCTCAATAGTTTACATGCACAAAACACCCTCCACCCCAAAAATCGAAAATATCGGTAATAACCATTAGTACAAGTGTGTATACCTGCCCCCCCCCAAAAAAAATTAACATGACAAGTACATGTATAGAATTTCTCCATGAAGAATAATTAACAGTTGGTTTAGGTATTTGATCCAAAGGCTGCAAAAGATGTACACTTGACAAATACTTGCACAGTCAACGTTCTGTATAACAAAGTTTAAGGTCCAGACAACTTACATATTTTGTTATGGCGAGTACTCACTGAAAAGAGTGGAGAAACAAAAAAAGACATGAGAGTTCCAGAAATTGTGATTCTCAAAATGTGCTCTTGATCACAATATTTTGTTGTTATAGTGTTCTTCATAATAAGAGTCAACTGTATTGCAGGCTTAAATTGATAATCCAGCGCCATTAAGAAAGTCTGATTCCCCTTGGCATAGCCTGTTCCATACTTGTAGAGTGTACATAGTAGTACGCTGTACATGAATTTATGCCCTGAATTTTGCACACAATCCATGACAAAGCCAATCCAGGAAGTTGTTGATGGAAGTAAGTATGTAATGAGCCTTTTCCATTATTGCTGCAGACATTTCATCAAGGTAC